AAATTGTGGCATACCACGGAAACTTTGGCCTGAAATGCCAGATTTCTGCTGTAGGTATTCATTATGCTCAGCTGGTTGGAGTAATGGCATAAAAGAAAGTTCGAGAAACATGGTGTGAATCAATAGTGAGAAAACCAGACAGGGTCCCTGCCCTCATAAACCTTAGAGTCTAGCAGGAGACTGACATGAAAACAAATAGCAGAAGTAGAATGTTTTAGCTGCTATCATAGTAACTATTACAAGGAACAGTTGGGCACTCCTTGAGGGAGTGGCCAGTTCCATTGAGGGTAAAAGGGTGCCAGTCAAGAAGTCTTCATAGAGAAGGTGAATTTAACATAGATTCTTGAATAAGAACATGGAGTTTGGGGAACTGACAGAGCACTCTCAACAGGATCCTTGCAGTTTTTGTCTGGGGATTGAGATGTTCTGCAAAATATCAGGGAAGATTCTTAATGCTGAACTTTCAGAGGAACTAGAACTCAAACTTCAAACTAGATCTCCCCTGCCAAGGTCTTCCAAGGATCTTGTGTGTGGCCCTGTTTCAGTAGGACAAGCCTCGGTCAGTTTGAAACAGTTGACCCTTATTTAACCCACATGAAGAACTTTGTAACCCTTTCCAGACTTCAGAATCTATGCTACAAGTAGAGCCTGCTTCTCAGATTTTGCTCATAAAATGTAAGTCCAACCAACACCCTCTTCTTGGATTATCAAACTTTTATTTCCAGGCTCCTTCCAGTAGAACCGGTGGGCTGTTCATTCTGTGAAACTTTGCCACTTGATTGAAACTCTGCCATTTGAATGGAATGGTATATTCTTTTGCAGAGATCCCTGGGCTAAAATTCAGACCTTCATTTTCTTGTCCTAAGGAGAAAGATACACATCCTTTAGGAAGAATGATATGATGCTGCCATCCTTACTCTTTGCAACTCCAGATTATCCCCTAACAGCTGGCTTAATGTAACAGTAATTCACAGTCCCCTGTTTGATGGCTGCAGATAATTCTTCATTATTTAGAATTCAGCAATGTTACTGCACTGGTAATTGAATTTGTGATTCCCTCCAGACAGCATAGCACTCACTGCCTGTTAGGACCATGTGGTGTGGTTAAGATGAATACATTTCCAACTATAATGAATCTTTGAGCTAAGCTTAACAGCACACTGCCAAATGGATATAGTGTTTTGATGATTTGACTTATGATATTAAGCATTTTGGAGTGAAACCCATTTGGAAGCCTGACAATGTGTACCTACAAAGAAACACTGGGAGAGAAATCTAATACTGCCCAGAACTCTCCATCAAAAGCTTTATTGATGATCTTATCAAGCACAGATAAGTATGTGACAAATTAGTCCCTTGCCTAGCTAAAGATGTCTTTGCCACAACGTTGAATTGAATCCTTGTCTAATGAAAGAAAAGAAAAAACCCCAAATAATTTTCAATGAAGTATGCCTTATCAGTAGACCGCAATTAAAGTGCTTTCAAAATTTCGCATTCATAGAATGAGCTCAACAAACTTACGACTTTGCAACACTGTTTCTAAAAGAGAATATTTATAGTTTGGGAAAACAGCACAAAAATGAAAACTGTTGGAATTGTTTTGGTTGCTGAAAATATACTTGGCCTCAGTGGCTGTGGCACTGTAAAAAGAGCTTTGGCTCTGAGTTCAGGCTCTCAGTTTGAATCCCAGCGCGTTCATTTACTGTGTCCTTAATAGGTCATTAGAGTCTTTGACTCTCTTCACCTTTTCCTGTAAAAATGAGATCACAAATGTCCATCTCTGAACATGACATGCACAGAAGACGGGGCTGTGCTTGGGTCCACTGGATTCTTATTATACGAACAGCCGTCATGTGCAGGCCTACTTGCGCCTGGCATAGTCAAGGGCTTATGAATGCATAATATCTTAAAACTACAGAGGGTAACAAAAAAATGTGTACACATTTTAAGAAAGGAAAAAACTATTAAAATTGTGATAATATATACTGATAACAGAAGATGAATACAAGTCACGTTTGACTTCCACAATTACAAGAGGTGCTTAAAGTGGTTACCATCGGCATCCAGACACTTCTGATGACGGCGAACTACTGCTTGAGCAACATTGACCAAAGTGCCCACTCGTATACATTTTTTGGCAGCCCCAGTATATGTGGTTGATATTTAGGATGACCATCTCTTCCTGGTGTGCCAGGAAATGCCTTTATTTTACAACTGAAATTCCTGAGGCCCAGGGACCCATTCAGGGCAGTGGTCACTCTTATCAATACTATGGTCTCATCTTACAAGAGTGAAAACTGAGGCTCAGAGGGTGTGTATAAATTATCCAATATCCCTGAGCTGGGAAAGAAAAGGCCCAGTTTTCAAACCCAAGCTTGAATAACTCCCACAGCTACACTCTTCTTGCAGCCCTAAACTCCACTCAGTAAATGTTGCTTTCCTTGCTGTATTACTAGAAAGTTCTGGACCTAGCAAATATTTTTCAACTGTCTTTAATTATTATTTCAGGAATGCACGCATGTGTGTGTTTGTGTATGTTGAAGAGTGGTGTTGCTCTGCAAGTGATAGCAATAATGCAAATCATAGTGATAGCGAAAATGATGGTTTAAAGGCCTAACATTTATTTCAAAGAGCATTCTATCTTTTATCAATGCACAGCCCATTCACTTATTCACATATCCATCCATCCATTCATTCAACAGGTAAACAGTGAGGTTGTCCTGAGTGCCTAGTACTGGGGCAGATACAGGAAGACTAAGATGCTGTTCTCAAGATGCTGAATGTAATGGGATTTTAAGAATCAATTGTAAAATAATGTGAGAATTATGAGATAGAGGCAAGCCCTCCATGTCTGAGCCCTTGCAATTGCACAATCTCCCACATCCTGCCTTCCTTCACGTATGGCTCCAGCCACACAGATCGATTTGTTGTTGTTGTTGTTAATGATGAAAGCATTTTATATATATATATATATTTTTTTTAAATTAAAGAACAGTGTGTTTTTCTAGGACCTATCAGCTCCAAGTCAAGTAGTTGTTTCCATCTAGTTGTGGAGGGCGCAGCTCAGGGGCCTATGTGGGGATCAAACCGGCAACCTTGGTGTTACGAGCACTGTGCTCTAACCAACTGAGCTAACTGGCTCAGATCGTTTTTAATGAGGCTCCAAACTTATTCCCAACACTGGTTAACCAGCTGTTACCTTCACCTGAAAGATTATTTCTCCTCATCTGGGTCCTTCAGCTCCAAGATGAAATGTTACCGCTTCAGAAAAGAACTTCCTTGACCACCTCCAGGTAAATTAGCCACCCAGAAATTCTCTATTAGATCGTCCTGTTTTAAAGGGTCTTCCTAGGGTTTACTTATCACTCTTTGATATTTATCCTCTCTGATTGTTTGTTTATTGCTTTTTTGCTTGCCTTAGCCAACAGAGTGTCAATTCCAGGGAGAAGAGGTAACTTGTGTATTTTATGGTTTATCATTTGTTGTTTTTCATGGCTGTAATCCCAGGACCTAATGCAATGCTAGGCACGCAGGAGCAGCCTGTAAGCATTTTTTGAATGAACGGAATGAGTGAATTAATAAATGTTTTGGATGCCAGAAAAAGCAGCCAGCTCAGCATGAATGAGTAGACATTTGACAGGAACTCTGCTCGAAGGAGTATCCAAATTCAGCCTTGCTTTTTCTTTTCTTTATCTGGTTATACAGGTAATATATTCTCAGTTATATATAAAAAAAAAGCTGGTAAAGAAATCCCAAAAAGTAAGGCCATACTTGACATAATCACTAATAATATTTTGTTGGAAATTCTCTCCTAGTTCTCTTTTTCATTCCTGTTCATAGATACTTTTGAACATAACAAAATCACTCTTTTCATAGTTCTATACTTTTCGGGGGTAAATATTTTCTTACATTTTCATTTTAAAGTTTCCTTTGTTCTTCATCATCATAGATGTACTAGGATTTATCTAGCCAATCTATACTGTTGGACTTTTGAATGTTCCCATGTTGCCATCTGGACAATATCAGATTAAACAACTTGGCAGATACATAATCTTTGTGTGGATCTATGTGGTAGCTTAAAGTAAAGCAAAAGAACTTTGATTTGAGTACTAGATCCACCAGTTTCTTTTAACTATTTATTTTTAAATTTTTAAAAGTTTTCTCAACTGTAATACAGGGAGGAGAGCCTACTTCGTAAGAGAGCTATCGTACAAATGAAACAATATAAAAAAGGCAAAGTATTCAGCACAAAGTATGCGATACATGTTTACTGCTCTTGATACCTTCCATTGAATAAATCCCTAGAAGTCAAATTAGCTTTCCAATCTGTCTGAAATAAAAACTAGATTAAAAAAACAGAAAAAACAAAACTGAGTCGGAAGGAGGCTGAGACAGGGGAAGTGAAATTGGGAATAGGGAAATTTTTTTTTTTTAAATTATGGAAGGACTGGTGTAGACCCACTGCATCAGCCAGAAACTATAAAACACAAAGCTAATATTAACTCTGACTCTCTCACCGCCCCAAACGCAGCCCTGCTGACTGCTCTGCTCTGTATCACCACTGGAAACAAACTTTTCTGGGCACCTGGCAAGAGCAAGTTGATGATCAAAATAATGCTGGTGATTTCAGCTGGGTCATTGGGAAGATGGGAAGATGGATAAGAAGGCCAGAGAGGTACGTTTTGCTTGGTCCAACAAGAAGTTCAATTTTTACTATATTGAAGTGTCTGGCGGATTGTTTAGAAAACATGCGAGGGCTTGAGGTGTTAGTCTGAGTATAAACAGTGTGAAGAATATTTGAGGCCGTGGCACTAGCTCTTCCTAACTTAGGAAGAGCCATCTTTTGTTTCCCTTTTGAGAAGTTGTAAGCTCATCTAAAATTATCCACTTTGCTTTCAATGGGTGCTGTTGCTTGGTGTCTGATTTAATTAGTAAATTGTAATTTTACTTATGTTTTCAGTAAACAACTTGTAAGCACAAAGTAATGGCAGAGTCACACATTGATAAGATCATGTTTATTGAGTGATGTCTGACAAGTAGAGAAAGTAAAAAGACTATTTAAAAAATGTATAATTTATATTTATATAAATACTTTAAAGGAGAAAAGTTGAACACATATGGTGACATAAGAAGAATTCATACATTTAAGTTTGCAGCCTACCTTATAACCTGACAAATGAGTTACACATATGTATACACACATGGCTTGTTTGTGAGTGTGCATAATTAGGGCCCTTGGACAACGTATGGGCAGGATTACAATAAATTCTAAACTCCCGTAAAATTTATGTTATTATGCCATCACACTATGTCAGTTTGTCCTTCTTTTTCAATTTTTACTACAGGCACATTTGAAAGTCATCAAGAGTTGTAATCAGGTACTCTGGGCCTCTATTTACTCACCAGTGAGATGACAGAATCTCTGCTGACATGCTCTACTTTTGAATTAAAAAAAAAAAACAAAAACCTAGTGAGCCCCAGGAGCCTACAGTATATACAAATGTATTAGGGCTGGCAGGGCTTGGTCGTCATCATCTGTGTACTGGAGGGAGTTTTCTGTTCAGCTTCTTTCTATTGGAAAGGAGTCAATTTATCTGAAATGAAGCAAGTTTATGACACCAGTCCACTTAATTAACAAACATTCCATTACTGTAGATACAGCTCGTTTCCTAGTGTACAACTAAACAAAAAAATAATAATGTTCTCTGAATTTCAAGTTGAAGAGCTATGTTTCCTCAGATCTTGGACTTGGAAGTTCAGAGCTGAGCTACTCAAAGAGTTCAACAGAGACCCCTCAAGTCAATCCACAATAGATGGTAGAATATTTGTATGATGACATGGTCGGTATGACCCTGGACTTCACTGTGTCCAATTCATCACAGTGACATTTTTTTGACATTGCATTAGTGTATACCAAAAGAAGATGAGTGTAACGTGATACAGTCTATACAGTAAAACCTCTATCTGATTTCTTAAATTTATAGAAATTTTCATTTGCAGTAAACACTATAGAACAGTAAGTTATCCCTAAGCACTCTCCTGAGCTTAGTTTGATTCCAAGTTTACAGTTAATCATATCTTTCATTAAAAAAAAAAAAGACAGATAGAACTGACCTCATATGACCACAGAAAATACAGAGGACTCAGGTGAAATAATAATTCTCATAGTTTTTCTTCTGTTCTTTGGATGGTGGGTCCTGCAGGAGCTACAGTTGGCCTCTGTAGGTGTGCTCCTCCAGGGACGCATGTTACATTTGCCCTCGGCTGGTGTTAGGCTTTACCTCTTGGAGGAAGGCCTCGTTGTTATGAGGACAGTTGTTGTGACAGGTACAGGTGCCGATGACCATCACTGGTTTCTTTATGATCTGCCCTGGGGAGCACTGGAACTCCACCTGGATGGTTTTGGTGTTGTGGGGGGTACAGCATCGGCCATCGCTGCAGACTCCACAGTACCTGGGCTTGTAGGTATGCAGGCTGGTGCAGTTCTTGAACTGTAGGTGGATGGCTTTGAGTGACTTCGTGGTGCGGAGACACTTTTTTCCTTTCTAAGAAAGAAGAAAGGGAGTGATGTGTGGGATGGCTACCGTTCCTCCAAGGGACTATTTTAGGGGTATGGACTAACCTGCTGATTGCCTACCCAATATTCATTGCTCTTTCTTCTTTGCTAACAGAACACTAATTTTGTTTGGGCAATTTGGTCAGCTATAAGTATTCGCTTCCCCAGAATGGGAGCTTAGGACGGCCTTGTGACAAAGTTATGGCTGATGATATTTAAACTAAGGGATTCTGGGAAATCCTTTGCCCTTCAGACAGGTACAGTTCTTTATTGCTTCCCGTGTTCATTTTCCTTCTTGCCTAGAATGTGGAAACCATGCCTAATAGTGCACAACCATCTTTTGATCTTGCCACGATAAACATGAGGGGGAAAGCATATGTGTGACAAAGACACCTATATT